ACACATACACACACACATATGTTGTTGATGTTAGGTGCCTTCAAGTCATAGCATCCCTATGTATAACAGAATGAAACACTGCCTGGTACTGCATCAGCCTCACAATCCTTGCTATACCTGAGCCCAAAGTTGCAGCCACTGTGTCAATCTGTTTCATTGAGGGCCTTCCCCTTTTTCACTGACTCTCCACTTTACCAAGCATGATATCCTTCTTCAGGGAATGGCCCTTTCTAAGTAATCTTAGATGATTGCATGTTTGGTCAATTTCAGACTGCAAAAATTGGTAAAAATCTTCAATTTCCTTGTCTTTGGCTTTGGTGGTTGGTGCGTAAATTTGCATAATAGTAGTATTAACTGGTCTTCTTTGTAGGTGTATAGATATTATCCTATCACTGACAGCATTGTACTTCATAACATATCTTGAAATGTTCTTTTAAGTGATAAATGTGACAATTCCTTTTCAATTTGTCATTCCTAGCATTGTAGATCATATGGTTGTATGATTCAAAATGGCCCAAACCAGTCCATTTCAGCTCACTAATGCCTAGGATATTGATCTTTATGCATTCCATTTTATTTTTGACAACTTCCAATTTTCCTAGATTCATACTCCGTACATTTGACGTTCCGATTATTAATAGATGTTTGCGGCTTTTTCTTTCCATTTTGAGTCATGCTGCATCAGCAAATGGAGGTCCTGAAAGCTTTACTGCATCCACATCAAAGATGACTCTATTTTGAGGAGACAGCTCTTCTCCAATCATATTTTGAATGCCTTTTGATCTGAGGGGCTCATCTTCCAGCAGTGTTTTGGGGTTATTCATAAAGTCTTCCAGTAATATATCAGACAATGTTCACTGCTATTCATGAGGTTTTCACTGCCTTGTTCTTTGAGAAGTGGATGGCCTCTTCCTTCTTCTTAGTCTGTCTTAATCTGGAAGCTCCGCTGAAATCTGTCTACGATGGGTGACCCTGCTGGTATTTAAAATATCTATAGCATAGCCTCTGGCCTCACAGCAACACATAAGCCACCACAGTATGACAAACTGACAGATGAGTGGTGGACATACACACATATATATGCATATATGTATATTTATATATATACACACATATATACAGACATATAGGAGCTCTGGTAGCATAGTGGCTAAGACACTTGCCTGCTAACCAGACGGCTGGCAGTTCAAACCCACCAGCCACTCCTCGGAAGGAAGGTTGGGCTATCCTACTTCCGTAGTGATACTGCCTCGGAAACCCAAGGAGGGGTCGCTATGAGTCGGGGCCGACTCGACAGCACATAACAACAACAACAACATACAGACATATACACCAAAATCCAAAAAAACCAAACTCACTGCTGTCGAGTCAATTCGACTCATAGTGACCCCTTCTTGGGTTTCTGAGGTGGTATGTCTATGGAAGTAGGTTACCCAATCTTCCTTCCAAGGAGTAGCTGGTGGGTTTGAACTGCCAATCTTCTGGTTAGCAGTCAAATGCCTTAGGCACTATGCCACCAGAGCTCCCTGCACATATATATGCATACACATACACATATACATACACACACACACACACACACATATATATACATACATACCCACCAACCAGTAAAGCCAAAGGTGAAGAAATTTAAGATTTTTACCAAATTCTGACGCCTGAAATTAGCCAAACATGCAATCAAGATGTATTGACAATACATACAATGGAATGCAAAAGTGGGAAACAAAGAAGCATCAGTAGTTGGAAAATATGGCCTCGGTGATAGAAACAATGCAGGAGATCTCATGATAGGATTTTGTGAGACTAATGACTTATTCATTGTAAATACCTTTTTTCAACAACATACACAGGCCTATACAAGTGGACCTCACCAGATGGAATATACAGGAATTAAATTAACTACATCTATGAAAACAGGTGAGGGAGAAGCTCAATATCATCTATCAAAACAAAGCCAGGAGCTGACTGTGGAAATGATGATCAGTTGCTCATATGCAAATTCAAGTTGAAGCTGAAGACAATTAAAACAAGTCCATGAGAGCCAAAATATGACCTACATTCTATCCCACTGGAATTTAGAGACCCTCTGAAGAACAAATTTGACACATTGAACACCAGTGACTGAAGACCAGACAAATTGTGGGATGACAACAAGGACATCATATATGAAGAAAGTCAAAGATCATTAAAATGACAGGAAAGGAAGAAAAGACCAAAACGGATGTCAGTAGAGACCTTCAAACTTGCTCTTGAACAGAGAGTAGCTAAAGTGAGTGGAAGAATTATGAAATAAAATAGCTGAACAAAAGATTTCAAAGGGTAGCTCGAGAAGACAAAGTAAAGTATTACAATGAAATATGCAAAGACCTGGAGTTAGAAAACCAAAAAGGAAAAACACACTCAGCATTTCTCAAGCTGTAAGAACTGAAGAGAAAATTCAAACCTCCAATTGCAATTTTGAAGGATTCTATGGGCAAAATATAGAATGATGCAGAAAACATCAGAAGAAGATGGGAGGAATATACAGAGTCACTGTACCAAAAAGAATTGATCAACATTCAACCATTTCAGGAGATACCATATGATCAAGAACCAATGGTATTGAAGGAAGAAGTCCAGTGTGCACTGAAGGAACTGGCAAAAAACAAGGCTCCAGGAATTGATGGAAAACCCTTTAAGATATTTCAACAAAATAATGCAGTGCTGGAAGTGCTTACTCATTTATCCCAACAAATTGGAAGGCAGCTTCCTGTCCAACCAACTGGAAGAGATTCATGTTTGTGCCATTCCAAAGAAAGGCACATTTCAAGGAAAAGCTTCATGGTGGATGGAGAAAAGATTGAAGTTGTCAAGGACTTCATATTACTTGGTTCTACAATCAATGCTAATGGAAGCAGCAGTCAAGGCATCAGATGACATAGTGCATTGGGAAAATCTTCTGTAAAAGACCTCTTTCAAGTGATGAAAAGCAAGTATGTCTCCTTGAAGACTAAGACATGACTAACCCAAGCCATGGTATTTTCAATCACCTCATCTGCATGGACAATGAATAAGAAAGACCGAAGAAGAGTTGATGCTCTTGAGTTGTGGTGTTGGAGAAGAATGCTAAGAGCTCCGTGGTCTGCTAAAAGGACTAACAAATCTGTCCTGGAAGAAGTGCAGCTGGAATTCTCCTTGGAAGAGAGAATGACCAGACTTCATCTCACATACGTTGGTCATGTTGTCAGAAGGAACCATTCCCTGGAGAAGGATATCATACTTGGTAAAGTAGAGGGTCAATGAAGAAAGGGAAGGCCCTCAACGAGATGGATAGACACAGTGGCTGCAATGATAGGCTCAAGTATAGCAAGGATTGTGAGGATGGCACATGACCGGGCAATGTTTCATTCTGCTGTGCATAGGGTCTCTATGAGTTGGAGACGATGGGATGGCACCTAACAACAACAACAAAGAAAAGTGTTCCAACAGAATGTGGAAATTATCAAACAATATCATTAATATCACATGTAAATAACATTTTGCTGAAGATAATTTTAAAACTGTTGCAGCAGTATATTGACAGGGAACTTCCAGAAATGCAAGCTGGATGTGGAACGAGGAATATCACTGCTGATGTCAGTTGGATCTTTGCTGAAAACAAACAGTATCAGAAAGATGTTTTGTATCTTGACGATGCAAAAGCGTTTGACTGTGTGGATCATAACAAATTATGGATAACATTGTGAAGAATGGGAATCCCAGAACACTTAATTGTGCTCACCAGGAATTTGTACATAGACCAAGAGGTTGTCGTTCAAAAAGAACAAGGGGATACTGCGTGGTTTAAAATCACAAAGGATGTGCATCAGGGATGTATCCTTCCACCATACTTATTCAATCTGTGTGCTGAGCAAATAATCTGAGAAACTGGACTGTATGAAGAAGAACATGACATTAGGATTGGAGGAAGAATCAGTAACAACCTTGCAGATGACACAACCTTGCTTGCTGAAAGTGAACATGACTTGAAGCACTTACTGATGAAGATCAAAGACTACAGTCTTCAGTATGGATTATATCTCAAGAGAAAGAAAAGAAAAATCTCCACATATGGACCAATAAGCAACATCACAATAAATGGAGAAAATATTGAAGTTGTCAAGAATTCATTTTATTTGGATCCACAATCAACATCCATGGAAGCAGCAGTGAAGAAATCAAACTTTGTATTGCACTGGGCAAATCTGCTGCAAAAGATTTCTTTAAAGTGTTAAGGAGAAAATGTCACTTTGAAGGCTAAGGTGTGCCTAACTCAAGCCATGTTATTTTCTATCACCTGATATGCATGCAAAAGCTGGACGGTGAACAAGGAAGACTGAAGAAGAGTTGATGCCTTTGGATTGTAGTGTTGGCAAATATATTGAAAATACCATGGACTGCCAGAAGAATGAACAAATCTGCCCTGGAAGAAGTGTAGCTGGAATACTCTTTAGAAGTGAGAATGGCCAGACTTTGTCTTACCTACTTTGGTCTTGTTGCCAGAAGGGACTAGTTCCTGGAGAAGGATATCATGCTTGGTAAAACAGAGAGTCAGTGAAAAAAGGGAAGACCCTCCATGAGAGGGACTGACACAGTGGTTGTAAGGATTGTCTCAAGCATAGCAAGGATTGTGAGGATGGTGCAGGACTGAGCAGTATTTTGTTCTGTTGTACACAGGGTGGTTGTGAGTCTAATCTGACTTGATAGTACCTAACAGCATAACAGCAACCAAGCCAAAAAAAAACCAAACTGACTGTTGTTGAGTCAATTACGACTCATAGCAACCCCTCCTTGGGTTTCCGAGGCGGTATCTCTATGGAAGTAAATTGCCCAGTCTTCCTTCCAAGGAGTGGCTAGTGGGTTTGAACCACCAGACTTCTGGTTAACAATCAAATGCCTTAGGCACTGTGCTCCCAGAGCTCCTCATAACAGCAACATATATACATATATATAAATATAACCCAGTGCCATTGAGTCAGTTCTGTCTCAGTGACCCCCCCATAGCATTTCCAAGGCTGTAAATCTTTTGTGTGTGTGTGTGAGATTTGGGTGAAGATTTACAGAGCAAATTCACTTTCCATACAGCAGTTCACATACACTTTGTCTCATGACATTGGCCACAGTTTACCCCAATGCAACAGCTTCCCTCCCACTTCCTCCCTATAGTTACCTTTTCCCAGTGTCCATTTCTCAATGCACTTCTGCCCCCTGAGCTGTCTCCCTGTGCATAAGCAGCCCTTCTTTCTCCCATGATTGTTCTCTCCAAGGAGTGTATCTACCTCAGGTAAATGTTCAGC